AAAAATCCTGTGAAACCTACTGATAAAAAAGTATCTCTGGAACTAATGCTCACACATGAAAAAATTAACAACTTATGGTTACTAATTTAGGTTGTGGTTTCACAGCACCCATCTATGGCAAGTCCTCATTCATCCTTCACTGACAATCCAGAAAAGAAATGTGCAGTTGATTTCCTCTCAGGTTGCCTTTTAGCTCACAGCAGGTGGGTCCAGACCCCCACCAAAGTGCAGTGTGTGGCAGCCCAGGTGTTGCAGGACCATTCCATGAGCCTGCAGGCTCACACCCTTCTGGTAACTTGTGTGAAAATCAGGATAATGAGATCTAATGAAATTTATTTTTTTCAATTTTGTGGGGGGTTAATCCTATGATTTGCAAATATTAGCTGTACTAAAATAATGTAATAAAGGATCAGAAATTAAGCTTGAAAGATCAGCAAATGTCAGAATTACAGCTGATTGAGTAACCTTATTTTGACCCTATTGGGCACTTGTGGTATGACTTTGTGTTTAATTACATCATCACATACTGTTTTTCCAAAGTAACCCTACCTTAGTTAATAGATCAGCCAGCCTTGTTCCAAGAATGGTCCAAGCTTGTGTAGTTAAAGATACTGATAGATTATATGTGGAACCACTGTTTCTCATACCTTAGTTCTCCAAATCTAAATTGGGTATAATAATACCTTGTTTTCTCACTGGTGTGTTGTGAAAATAACTTAATTGGTGTTTGTGCATTACTTGGTGACTACAGCAGGCTACAGGAAAGCCCAGGAGGAAAATAATAATTTTGTATCTAGGGAAGGTCTTGAGTCACTTGCATTATGCAGGGTGTGGGCCATATTTTAGACAATGAATAATAAGCAAGATGTGGAAAGAGAACAGATCAGCAGTGGCATCAGATATCACGTTGGCTGCACCTGATTTTGGCAGGTAAGCGGATCCTGGCTCATCTACTTGGAAGGTAGAGGAGAGGAAGGAGCAGGAGCTCAAAAAGTAAAACAGTTCAGTCTACACACTGAAAAAGACAATTACTGAAAGGAGAAAAAAGCACATATGGCCAGGGAAGCAGAAACTGCACTGTAGTCCAAGACTTGTACAGGATGCATCGCTTCGCCATTCTCTAGCTGTTGAGTGCTAGAGCTTATAACCTAACCACACTTCTTTGAACATGTCTGTCTTTCTTTTGCATATACTTACTTAGGTTCTATCTACTCAAAGAAATGCCTTAACTCTGCTCTAGAGTCTTCTTTAGCAGTCCTTAAGTAAACAGCCGTGAAATACAAACCTCATTCCACAGAAACCACTGATAACCACAAACATTCAAGATCTATATCATAGTCCATCCCCACTAACGGAAACCTTGCTGATCTTGCAGTAGTCCTTGGAGTTTCTCACCTAAGACTTTAGGCAATTGTGCAAATGAGATGGATGATGAAAGAAAATCTCTGCAAAAGCTGAAAAGCCCTATGAAAGATGAGAGTGTCTAAATGAAACTTTTTTGTGATCATAACTGGCAGGGTGGTTTCAGGTGAGTCTTACTCTTAGGAAGTTCAAGATTATAGAAGACAAATCCCTGAAAACTCACTTGTTTTTCAGAAAGCCAGAAGCAAAACCAAAGGCCATGTCAGAAATAATATCATAAATGCTTATAATTAAATATACCAAGTCAAGCTGTTAAATTTTGCACCGCTTTTAGGTTAATTGGAGATAAAATGTAGTCCAACAGTCCAAGTGTAGTTCCACAGAACAAATTACAGTTCTCAATTTAGCAATTTAGAAGCCATAAATCCTCTATTGTAAAGGAACCAGAAAAACCTCATTGACATTTTGGTGAAGAAGACATACCTCAGCAGCTGTTATGTGATCTGATAGTTGTTGGAAATTAGATCAAAGAAAAATCACTGCAAATAGCAAAAACTGTGTAAAAAAAAGTAGGGTCATTGGCTCACAACAAGCGGAGAGAGAGAGAGAAAAACCCGCAATATGTTTAAAAGCATTATCAATTTCATCTCAGTTCTTTCTGTGTTTTTATGTAATCCTTACTTATCCACATTTAATCCTACCTACTTCTCAGCAATTGTGAGAAACACCTAAGATGACTATCTAAAAGGTAAGTGCTTTATCTCATCTCCTCATATTTCTGTCCAAGTCTATAGTGAATTCTACACTTCAATTTTTTGTATTTGTCTTACATAAGGTAGCAACTAAAAAGACTATTTAGAAATGAAAATATAAGACTATCAATGCTGCCATATATTAAAGGCACTTTTATAATAATTTGTAGCAACTATGCCGTGTCGTAAACATCAGTTACAGTGCTGTAAGTGTCTGGTGGAGATTCATGCGACAGTATTTTCTTCACACTATGTACCAGAGCCTACATCAACCTCTTGACACTGTTGCCAAACAGACAAATCCCATGTTTCAAAGCTGTATATGTCAGGTACAGCACATACAGATACTAGGATGGTTTTTCTGGGAAAAAACCCACCAAAACCAAAACAAAAAAGAAACATTCAGTAATTTTCCTTCCTCTGTTTTGTAGCAGACAGGTCAGGGTTTCCCTTGTGCTCGCTGTGTCTCTGGCCTGTCTCCTGCTCTCCGGCAAAGAGAAACACCAAAACTGAGGAGGAACTCTCTGCTGTGAGAATGGTGTCACCCCAGACGTGAGCCCGGTGAGGGTGACTGCAGGTGAGAGGCAAGCTGGATGGAAACTACCTGGAAAGCTCTGGGGAGCAGGGCTGGTGGACGCTGGCCACGGCAAAGGGAGCAGCAGCGCCAGCGAAGAGTGCTTCTCCAGGGGCAGTGCCCCTGGCAGGAGTCACAGCCACAGGTCCTCGTAGCAATGCAGCAGCCAGCACCACTTTCCAGTATTCCCAGCTCAAGCAAAGCCAGCCAAGGAGACGTGGCTGGCTTGTGTCTCTGCCAGCTAGTCTGTCTGCCTCTCCCTAAAGAAGGTGCTGCTTCTAGCCTGAGCCTGCCTCCAGTCGCAGACAGGATGAGTAGGGGAATTTTTTTGTTTGCTCTCTGCTTAAGGCAATAGAGTTCAAGCAAAGTCATTTTAGTTTTGCTTCCCAACTTCTCAGATGTAAGTTCTGCTTTTAATTTTTAAACTTCTATTAATAACAAGGCAGAAGGCAGGGGAAAACCAAAACAGCACCCCAAGGTCTAATAAAATCATTTGCATTCTAAATATTGATCTCTTTTGAATGATCTATATTAACACTTTTCTTCTGCTATGTATTTTACTTACCACTGTGTCTCAGAACGAAAATAAATTTGTCAGCTGTTACACAGTGGGGCTAAATGCACATTACTGCACTTTTAAAGGAGGTGTGCATTCACTGGCTGAGGTGCAGGGGATTTACTGGCTGAGGTGCAGGGTGCAACTTTCAGCTATTAGGTCCCAGAAGACCAATTGAGCAACGTATCTTCCATATTTCCTCCCCAAGTAGATTAGGCTATGGCCCAATGTGTAGTAAGCCAAAACACACATGGAAAAATACCTGCTCATTCACCCACCCAAGTTGTCTTTGAGTTTTGGACTCCATATCTGAAGGACTATCTTGTGTCTCAGAGGATGCATATGGAAATGCAGATCAGAGTGCCTGAGAGTAGATTCTGGCCTAAGAGAATTGCATGGCAAATAACTGTACTTTAAGCTTACATGTCTTACACAAATACCCTAACATATATTCTTTCTCTGCACTGTTTCAGCTGTTTGCATTTTTTTCTTACTCAAGTAAAAGTACAGTGGTATAAATTTAGATTTTTTTTTTCACATTAAATGTGAAGAATAATGAATGAGAATTAGTTCGCTCTACTCCATCAAGTAGTCAATTAACTAAAATTTTTTCAGAATGTAAAATGATTCCTCTCCTAAATCCTGTGCCTGACAGCATTATTTTCCCTATATTTCCACCTGTTCTTTCTTCCACCTCTATTTTCTCTGACTTTACACTGCAGAAGAAGAGATTCCCAAGGTCCCCAATGTCACCAACGGTGAGGTTAGTTGTGTGTTAGAGTAAGAGGCGTGAAGAGTATGAGGAGTATGAGTTACTTTGTACTCTAAAAAGGCGTACCCATAAGGGCTACAGGCTGACTAGTTAGGTAAGAAAAGTGAGAAGAAAAAGCAGTTTCCAGGCTGTATCTCCACTCCCTCCTTGTGATGACTGAAGTATAAACATCCTCCCAAACACATGACATTCCTTTAATTTCCTGCAGATTTCTGCTGCTTCTTGTCCCCTCTCTCTTGTCCAAGTTTCCTTTGACCATTCAAATTTCTTTGCCTTTTTTAAAATAAAAAAAAACAAATCCAGCTTCCTTTAATTGTCTGTTCAGTGTTTGTTTCCTTTATGCCTTATGTATAATCCCCTGTGGTCTTCAACTCTCCTGCTGCTTTCCTTTCATGAAGCTTGTTTGTAGGAACTGCCCTTTTAGGATGCGTGGGCTGAAAGGTAATGATGCCTGGGACACTGTGTGTGAGAGCACTGGACTCTGTTGATTTTGAGCACACAAAAGTATCCTTGCTACCAAGGGCTATGAGAGGAAGACTGGCTTTGTGTGCACCTCCAAACACAAAATGGGGGTTCCACTTACAGGTACCTGTGTATCTGTGTAAGTATTAACATGGACTGCTTCTGTTACACGTCAAGCCCTCCAACTCCAGAACTTCTTCCCACCCTCTTTACTGTTCCACCTAGAGACCGCTTACATATGCCACAACCCCTGTCCACATGTAGCCACTTTCTCCAAATTGCTGCCAGCCACCTTTCCTTCCTACTCCTACTTGAGCAAAGTCCCCAGTTCTGGGAAGAGTCCTCGCTCCCTCTAGAGTTAGTGTCCTCTCCTCGGTCTTTGCAACCCCCAAGCTTCTTCAGCTCTTTTTCACCTATCCTGTGACAGCCACTACTGCTCTCTTTTACCCTTTCCGTGCTCTTGTTGGTTGCAAGCCACCATCTTTGCCTCTCTGGTCTTGGAAACAAACCATTAGACCTTACCTTGGTAAACCCTTAAAAATGTAGACATAGACTTTGTTGAATGCCAATCTGTCCATATCGGATTGATTCTGAGAAAGGATGAAAAATAGATATTCTGTCTTCATCTTCTGTTCCATAATGGGTTCCCTTTCCCCTCTTCCCTTTTCCTTTTTCCCTTTTTCCTTTTCCATTTTCCCCTTTAACCCTTTTTTCTTTGTTCCTTCCCCCCCTCCCTTCTCCCTTTTCCTTTTCTTTTGATTTTGAAGTTATTTTGTGTTATCTTATAACCACTTCAGTGTCAGACTTTTCATTAGACATTACAGCTTTGTCTTTTGACTCCCAGGAGAATTGCTAGAAACTTGACTGGGCCAACACCTATGAAAGTAAAGACTTGCGGGTGATTTGAATGAAATGCTCCCACAAGCTCACCCAAAGCAGGGAGATTGGATTGGCTTTCCACATGCTTTTATGGCTGGTTATGAAGCAGCCTTAGCTTGTTAGTTCTACTAAGTGTATCAAATGTGTTTCTGTATCTTTCCTGACAATTTGTGAGTGTTTCTAGATCTCAACAGTAAAAAGCTTAACAGGAGTGAACATTTATAATATGATACAGTGGTCCTCTACCAATGATAGCATTTTCCTCTCTGTTGCCAAAATGATTGTTTTGAAAGTGACTTTTTACAGTGCATAGAAGTGCCATTCTTCAAATGCATGAGATGCAAAAAATGCTTTATAGAAATATAATGGCAAGAAAGATTAATAAAACAAAATAAAACCACGTTTAGCAGGGCCTTGGCAGATTTAGGCAAAACTCAGTCACTTTTTCTCTTCAACAAAAAATAGGCTTATGGTCTCAGAAAATATTTTTAACAAAATATTTTATTGCAGTTTGTCCAAAAGCAAAACAAAATATTTAATTGAAAACTATAGAAATATTTTTCAGATGTAGTCATAAAGTTTCCCCATTTCTATTTCTGGATGAGTGAAACTGAAGGAGAAAAATTCATAGAGTAGGTTTTTTAAAATAAATTTTCTTATGCATCATTCGATTAGTATTATTCAGCCAGTTCTACCAAAAAGTTTGTGAGAATACTGGTGATACAGTGTTGACATGGTGCTAAGAGATATGTTTTTGAAAAGCCTATCACGTTTTACAACTATAAGTCATTTGTTACAAATGAACAATACAAAGCCAAGGGAACAGTCTTGGTTCAAGGAGCAAACTGAAATAAAAATAAAGGTTTTCAGTTAGCCCAATTTTTATTTTTCCCAGAATTCTTTTAAAATAGTTTTTCTTTTCAAAAGAACTGAAATAACAAAAATAAAACACAGAAACTACAAGTGAAACATTTCAGCTTCTCACAATTCCCCTCCACTTCTGCTGAAGTAGTGGAAATTGGTGAACAATCATTTCAGTCAGTCCAAGTCCATCCTTTTTTTTTATTTTTAAATAAGCTAAATGCAATATCTGTAACAAAAATATAGAGTTGCAAACAACACACACATGTACAGAAGACTATGAAGTCCTTCTGGGACCCTCCACTCATCCAGGCGTTGGGGGAATCGTGTGCTGTGCAGAAAGCCCGTATGACACAACCCGAGATCTGTCTTGCTCCCCACGTTCGCTAGAAGAGCACAACTCTCAGCTGCACCTGCCCCCCTGGTTCTCTCCCTCTGCTCACCAGAGTTCTGCTGTTCGTGCAAGAAAGTTACCAGGTTTGCAGCACAGTCGAGCTCGGTGCTGTACAGAGAGAAACAACCATGGCACACGAGCAGAACAGTGGTTTGGATGGAAAGAAAGAAAGAGCAATGGCAGGCAGGAAGAGGATGGTGGTGAACCAGCAGAAAGGCTGCAGCAGATATCCACTGGGCTGGGAGAGAGCTGTTGTCCTCTTTTTGATCCTACAGGACTAAGACTCGATTTATAGCAATTTAAGAATTGCAGAGATAAGCTAAGTCCAGTCGTGTGATCATTGAGGATTGAGGGCATGCATCTTCGCCCTCTGCACCTGTGGCTGAGCAATAAGTGAAGCTGTGACTCACTACCTCCGAAACTACGCTGACAGCATGTGCCGAGAGAACATCAGTTTTGATGTGTGAGATCTGAGTGGTTTAATAGACCAAGCATCTATCAGATGGCCAGACAGAGGAAGAAGAGGATCCAGAAAAAGACCTGGGATCTGATGAGAATCATCATAATGTTTTTCTGCGGAACGTTCAGCTGCTAGATGTGGAGAGGCTTTTGCTACTGTGATTTCTTATTTTGAGGAACTCATAACACGGGAATGGGGAAATGGCAATGCACCGGCTGTTGAGGACAGCACCCGTGTAGCTGTGGTGGAGCCGGCTGAGCTGGAGAGTGCTGACCACCAATCTGTACAGATAACAGAAAGCAGAGATGAACCCTATGAGCCCATGTGGTCTTTTCCATTGCTTGCATTAGGGTATTTAGAAGCCAGCATTCCCCATTCGCAGGGAGCCAAGACCACGGAATCACAGAACGGTGGGGGTTGGAAGGGACCTCTGTGGGTCATCTAGTCCAACCACCCTGCCAAAGCAGGGTCACTTACAGCAGGCTGCACAGGACCTTGTCCAGGCGGGTCTTGAATATTTCCAGAGAAGGAGACTCCACAACCTCCCTGGGCAGCCTGTTCCAATGCTCCTTCACCCTCAGAGTGAAGAAGTTCTTCTTCATGTTCACCTGGAACTTTCTATGCTTCAATTTGTGCCCATTGCCCCTTGTCCTGTCACTGGGCACCACTCCAGAGAGTCTGGCCCCATCCTTCTGACACCCATCCTTAAGATATTTATAGGCATTTATAAGATCACCTCGCAGCCTTCTCTTCTTCAGGCTGAACAAGCCCAGCTCCCTCAGCCTTTCCTCGTAGGAGAGATGTTCCAGTCCCCTCATCATCCTCGTAGCCCTCCGCTGGAGTCTCTCCAGTAGCTCCTCATCTTTCTTGAAGTGGGGAGTCCAGAACTGCACAGAGTACTCCAGATGGGGCCTCACTAGGGCAGAGTAGAGGGGGAGGAGAACCTCCCTCGACCTGCTGGCCACACTCTTCTTAATGCACCCCAGGATCCCATTGGCCTTCTTGGCAGCCAGGGCACACTGCTGGCTCATGGTCAGCTTGTCGTCCACCAGCACTCCCAGGTCCCTCTCCATAGAGCTGCTCTCCAGCAGGTCCACCCCAAGTCTGTACTGGTGCATGGGGTTGTTCCTCCCCAGGTGCAGGATCCTGTACCTGGCCTTGTTGAATTTTATCAGGTTCCTCTGCGTCCAACTCTCCAGCCTGTCCAGGTCTCACTGAACGGCAGCACAGCCTTCTGGTGTATCTGTCACTCCTCCCAGTTTTGGGTCATCAGCTAACTTGCTGAGGATACACTCTAACTCTTCATCCAGGTCGCTGATGAAGAAGTTGAATAAGACTGGGCCAAGTACTGACCCCTGAGGGACACCACTAGTTACAGGCCTCAAGACTGAACTCTGTTTTTCCTCTTTCAGTTGGCGTAGACTCACTTCCTTGGAATAACTTAAGCCACTAAGTGTATCATGTGCCTAAATACTTAATTTATAGCCCCACCCAAGTTTCACAACTCTGAACATAACCTTTTGTTTTGTAAGGAGAACTCCCACCAACTGAATTGCCTGGAGTTTCGTAACAGGACCTTGCATTTGCACAGTTTTCCCCATAATCCATCCTGCATAATTAGGACCTAAATCGTTGTCATATTAAAGCCTGCACAGGTTCTGTCCTGTCAAATCCTGCTACAGGATAAACTAATCAATACAGTATTTTTTTAATAATGTCAAAGAGCCTGGGAAATTTGATTTGCCTTTTTGGTCAATGGGCTGCTTGTAACTTAGGGAAGAGCTAAGATTTAGATTAATGGGGCCAGAAACACAGTATTTCTAGGTTTTTTCCTCCAAACCTTTGCATTTCTCCAAACAACACCGTTCCCTTCATTGCTTTAGGCAAACATGATTTCACAAGAAGTTACTGGGCAAAACCTTTAGGACACAAGTGTGTTTTTCAGGCTACTGAAGCTAGACTGCATCAGTACAAGACTGACTGATGCTCTGCTTTTTTGATTACTGCAGCTGAAGAAATATGAAAGCCAGTCCTTTCCTCCAAGCACACTGCTACAAGATTACAGGTGCCTCTAACTAGTATAACCTCTATCCTTTTGTATGCCCTACCTCAAACATTTCTTTTATTAACCTTATTTTGTTGCAAAACTTAATTCCTTCAGGTGCTTTGATGCCACATGATGTCTAAGGCTGCTTAGTTTAATAACGTCAAACACTTTTGATATCCTTTCCACCCGATGCGGCTAAGGCTCCTCTTACCTGGTTTTTCACGTCCTAGAAGGCAGCTAAAATGGGGGTTCCAACAGGTTGAGGAGCGACTGGAGGGCGCTAAAAAGAAACCTTTCAAATCCAACAAGAGTTTGCGACTGACAGAATAGGGTTCAGCTGCTGTTGTGCTAACAGTTTGGTATGCCAAAATTCACCTTTTGGTCTCCAAAAGCTTCTAGAAATAAATGCGGCATACCTGTCTGATTCTGCAAACCGTTCTGTTATTTAGACAAGTGCTACAGCTGATCTCAGTGAGAGCTCAGTCTGAATCTACAATGCATAGGTCTGCGTTCTGTTTCTAACAACAATTTGCATAACAGTGTTCATTTCCAAAACCCTTCACAAGCTTTATGCCTACAAGACTGTCTCTGGATGGAGGAGACAGAAAAACCACAGAACGGACTGTTGGCCACCTGCAGAAGGAAAGGAAGATTTGGATAATACTGACATTTGGGACCGAAACCCTCATTTTGTAACCCAAAGATCATTGGCAATGCCCTACACAGTGACGTCCGTCGAGGTCTGCGTAACACTGGATGTCCAGCTACGGTGGGACAGGGGCAGGACTGGGACCTTTCTACGCAGGAGCGGCAAAACCTCAGCGCTCAGGTTGAACTCTGCAGATAAACGCGCAGTACCTTATTGACTGACCCACGAGTCCTGGGAGATTGAAGACTGAATTAAAGCCACTAAATGTGTACCTGTGACTCGAACAGC